GAGCTCTTGCAATTTACAATTGATCTCGTCAAGAGCGAGGTCAATTCGGGTGCCCACATTTGCGAGTTCATGGTCGTCAACGAGTCTCGCCCTCGCGCGTGGAACAATAAGACGGACATGTGGTTCAAGTTGAGTGCGAGGAAGCGGAACAAGATATACGACTTCTTGTTCCTGCAAACGCGGCCCAAGAGAAACACTGACGCCGAGTACGTGTGCCGCAAGGATCACATGTTCACGCTGCTCGACAACTACCACGACGCCTTCCGCATGAACGCAAAGACCTTCCTCGAGAGGTTGCAGTCCCTGTACTTCGTGGAGTCGGAGGAGGAGTTGACGTTCGACAGTTACTCCTCCTTGATCTCCATGGAAGACGAGGAGACCACCGACATCGAGCTCGACGCGACCACGAAGAGGAGGGCAGCGACACCGAAAGCCTCGACCTGCAGTACGACCCGCATCCCGGGCAGCACACAACAGGGTCGTCCTTCGCAGGTCCGTCAACAAGCCCGACATCCCTCGTGTCACCGATGGCGAAAGCGGTGCCTGGCACTACCCCGATGAAGTTGCTGCAGAGAATGCAAGCTCTAGCCTCCGGCCATCGCTCACTGCGTCCCGGGTCTGACATCCCGACCGATCATCTATCTTGGAAGGATGCCAACATTCACTTCCTGCGTGAGCCTCAAAGTCGTTCCACGGAGGCGGACTGGGGCCATGACATGATTTGGCATCTAGGAGTCATCCAGTCGGCGATTCAAAAGGGTGAGTGGATCGTGGCCGTCGCTGTCCCGGACGGAGGATGGGTGCCCCTCCCTCGCGGGTCGAAGTCTGACTTCCTCGACGTCGCTAGAATTGCGGTCCTCCAGAAAGTCAGGGCCGAGAATGACTCTTTCGCACCCGAAGACGTGTCCTTCATTTCCACAATCGGGCGATTGTTCGCCGAGCTTCAGGACAAGTGCTGGTTGGAGCTGACGGAGGACTACTACGACCTCGATACGAGCCCCTCGAAGGGAAGGGTGGACTGGAAAATCCCCCCTCCCAGTGGGGCGCATGTAAGTACAGGGTCCCGGGGACCAGACGGTGGGGAGAACGAGGGCAACGAGGCTGGTGGCGACAAAGGAGTCCCGCCTGGTTCGGAGGGCGGGTCTCAGGGCGACACCACGACAGCGGAAGGCAGCGGCGGGGTGGCGGGGGAGGCCTTCGGGCGTCAGCAGTCTACCGGTCCCGGTCCGGCAAGCTCAGCACAGTCAGCGGATGTGCCCACTTCATCCGCCGACTCGGTGATGGCGGCCTTGGTTGCTCTCCGTGCCGACTCGGTCGAAACGTTCAAGTCCGCCGGGATCCGAACTTCAATGCTTGCAGAGCGGACGAAGACGACGGACGCGCAGAGCTTGTCAGGAGCGGGGGTGGCGAGTCGTGATACCAAAATGGACAGCGGTGCGGTGAGGGACGAGACTGCGCCGCCTGCGGGGGACCGCCAACCGCTTCGGTCGGAGCGAGAGGGTACGTGTGGAGGGCCTGGCGACAGGGACATGGCGAAGTTCGCCGGGATCCGAACTTCTTCAGGCAAGGGGGGCCAACCAGGGATTGTCGTGCCAGCGGGAGGGGCTGCGTGCGGTGAGCGGGAAGGGCATTCGTCAGAATTCGACACGGGTTCGGGCCAAGTGGCTGGATTGCATGCACGGGAAGAAGGCAGGGTGATGGACAAAGAGAAGGAAGGGGAGGAAGGAGACACAGGGGAGGAATTGGAGGAAGGAGGGAATGAAGGGGAGGAAGAAGAGGATGAAGGGGAGGAAGGAGAGGAAGGGGAAGGAACGGAGTTGGATGGGTTGCTAGGAGGGAATGACGGGGAAAAAGGTGAACTCGATACAAGAGACGACGAACGGACGTTCGGCGACGACGATGACAGATCTGGAGAGTCGTCTGACGGATTCGGGCAACTGTACAGAGAACATCGCGAGGAAGACGACGACGACGATGACACGGCACTGGGTATGGAGACACAGGTGGTCACAAGCCTTTCGGCAGAACGTGATGACTATGAGGTCGAAGCAATGTCGTCTGTCCTCGATCTCCAACAACGGTTCAACGACGCTAGTGTTGCGGTCAGCCTGAATAAACCGAGTGTGCGTATTGACATCGAAGAAGTTATCGACGGCATCCTGGGCGACCACCACATGTCCGCGCAGCAGTCATCTACGCCTGGTGTCGACGACCCTCTCGACGTCAAACCTTCCGGGGGATCTGTCGTGGCTTTGTCGCCAACGAACGCTCCGATGCTGCCGCCGACCATCGCCAGCGGAGGAGAAGGCGAAATCGGGGGACGACAAGACGTCACATCCCCGAAAAAAACTGCCGCCGGCACTCGAGCTCTTGACGTGCTGGCCTTGCCCGCGCCAACTTCGCCGATTAAGGAGCGGAGAGACAAACCAGCTGGTAAGCAGTGACAAACGCCACTCTGTCTGTGCGCCAGTGACCGCAGTGTCTGTCGATGCGGGGAGTTCCTGATGCCGGCATGCTACARCCACCACTCCTTCAAACTTCCAAGTACATGTGAACGACCATCCTGTGAGTCGGCCAGGTCACTGTGTGAAGTACATGTGTGTTTTTGTTGAAGCGTTCCGTCACATGATGGAAGGATGGTGTTTCTTTTTCGGAATGAGTGGTGGTTTTAGTCCACCGGGATCCGCACTGCCAAGGCCGCTGCGTAATGCGGTTACTCTTTTTGTGCCTCGATTGGGAAAAGTCCGCTGGGATCCTGACTTCATAAATGTTTGGCCTCCGCGTTTGTGGCTTGTTGAGGTTTTCCCTTCTGAAGGGGGGGGGTGTCGAGGTCGAACGCACTGCTCCTTTTGTTTCCCAGCGGGGCTTGCGCGAAAGTATTCTCTGTCTCTCTCATGGCTAAACGGGGTTCTGTAATTAGATAGGTCCTGCGTCTTCTACATTTCGTGGTTCTTGAATTGTCGTTTTCGTCGGATTCGTCTTGGATTACGTATATTCAGTTTCCGTTTTCTCTTCCTTCGTTTGTCCAGGGGTTGGGTTATCTCCCTGGGTCGGAAAATTCCGCCGGGATCCTGACTACAAAGATGTTTGGCTTCCGCTTCTGTGACTTGATGTGCTTTTCCCTTCTGAAGGGCGGGGGTGTCGAGCTCGAGTGCACTACTCGTTTTGTTTTGCAGCGTGGCTAATGCGGAAGTTCTCTCTCTCACACTCTCATGGCATGACGGGGTTCTGTAATTGCATAGGTCCTGCGTCTTTTAGATTTCGTGGTTCTTTTATTGTCCTTTCGTGGGGTTCTTCTTCGGAATCGTGTATTCATTTTTCGTTTTGTCTTTCGTCTGTTGTACAAGGGTAGGGTCGTCTCGAACACGGAGGCCCTCTAAATATCCAGAACACATATTGCAGACAGTCCCGGGGTTGACGACAAAACACAAGGACATGTTAAAGGCGTCAGTGGTTGATGTCGAAATCGGGAAGAAGGAGCATGCCATTGCCATTGAGGAGTGTCTTTCCCTTCTGCCCCCAGAGAAAGGGAGATATCCACGATCTGTGACTAAGGGTCAGACCATGTATGAGAAATACTTAGCTACTCGTCGTGCGATGAAGGAGAATCCTTAGAGTTTCGTTTCTCACTTCCCCCCCTGTCCTTTGCTCGATGTTGTGCAGTGCGGGCCACGACACCTGGAACAGTGGTGACTGCGATTGGAAGCTTGCGGGTTTTGGACGACATTGAACGAGGCTTGGTGCCACCTGACATTGAACGAGGCTTGGATCCTCCTTTCCGTGAACTTGAGAGATAATGTTCTTGAGATTTTTGATTCTTTTCCTTGCGTTGTAGCCGATTCTAGTTTTTACCTTAGTGTTTTCGAGTTGATCGTACACTATTTGGAATGTCAAACATCACATAGGCGGTCGTGCAGGCGCTGGAAGTCAGTAGGAACAAATGTTGTTATAGAGGGAGTTCCAAGACAAGTGGATGGAGTTAGTTGCCGGGTGTTTATGTTGATGTTTGCGACACTGTTTCAACGTGGCGATCGACCGCCTTTCAGGTTCTCTTGTAAAAATATTCCGTATGTTAGCCGACCATTGGCATCATGTATCTTAGAATGCCGTTGTCTTTGATGGATTCGATTGATTTGCAAACTTCTGTTTCAGAATATTTCATATTTTGACCGTCGCTTTCACAACGACATTACTTTCTTTTGGTGTTGCGAATTTGAGTTGTCTTTGGTATGTTGATTGCCATTCTGGCGTCGTGTGTTGCCTTCGGAATCTCTATCAGGTCCGGCTCGTCTGTTGTGCTATTACATTCATCGCATTGCAGTCGTCGTTGCAAATTGTGTCCAGGTCATCCAAAGATGTGCATATAATTCACCTCGAAATGATATTCATGTGTGTGGTGCGACATGACGAATTGGAGTGTGGATGCAAGATAAATCTCGGCGAGTGTGTGGGTGTGTGTGAGGTTCTTTATGCAAAGAGTAAAAGACMAGTGACATCACGTCTCTTGTGYGCATAGACAATCATKTACCGCCTGAATTACATGTAACCGACAATTTTGCGTTCGTGACCGGGAAAAATAAATTGTATGTCGAAAATAACTTTTTGTACTTCTAAAGAAGTCTGAATTACTACAACATCCAGACAACCGCCTCGGGCGAGACGATTTCCATGCATGTACAACTCACGCATAAAGGAAATAAATAGTATTATCCAACAAGGATTCAATCATGACACCTTGCTCATCACATTCACAAACTTGAAGTTTGACAAGTGTGGCTCCCGACACACTATCGCACAGGCATCCCGGATGGGCGTGCCTGTCGCTACTCTACGTCTTCTAATATAATTATCCAACGAGGATGCAACCATGACACATTGCTCGTCATAATTATGGAATAGAAGTTTAACAAGTACGGATCCCAGCACACTTTCACACAGGGTTCCCTGATGCGCGTGCCTGTCGTTATTCGTTTATGAAGTTTAACAAGTACGGATCCCGGCACACTTCGGCACAAGATTCCCAGCACATTTATGAAGTTCAACAAGTAAGGATCCCAGCACACTTCCGCACAGGGTTTGCCTGATGGGCGTGCCTATCGTTATTCGTTTATGAAGTTTGACAAGTGCGGATCCCACCACACTTCCGCACAGGATTCCCATCAGTGCCATGTTTTTGAAGTTCGGCAAGTAAGGATCCCGGCAAACTTCCGCACAAGGTTCCCGTGCGGCGTGCCTAACATGTACGGGTTTGAACACGCTTCCTCATTTGGGATATCATTTATAAAGTTTCACCACAAATACGGATCTTAGCACACTTCTGCATGTGCTTAAGCCCTGGATGGGCGTGCCTACGTTGCTTGGCCCTGACCCAAAAAAGAATTCGTTAGAAAGAGGACACAGTTTAATGTCATATTTTAACGAATAACATGTTTATCCTCCGTGGAAGGCAGAGTAGGTCCGAAGTACGTTCTCCACCAAGAACGGCGAGATGAAAGCTTAGGTTACCTCGATGCTCAGCAACTCGCTTAAGCTGATTACTGAGAAGTTGGAGGAGGTTGATAAAAAATCAAAGCTCACTGCGACTGTAAATGAAGAACTTGATAGAATGTGTGAGGAGAAAGCGAAGTTAGAAAAGGGTAGCAAACTTGAAGAACTGTCTCGTAGTGAGAAACGGAAGCGGGGTGGAGAGCGGACCTCTGTTGATAACTCTCTGAGAATAAATCGTGTGAAGTCGCGGACGCTAGGGAGTGATAAATCCAAGTCGTGTAATAGGATCGACATTTCCTCTGATGATGAAGGTGCAGACCCGGTTAAATAGAACCTGCAGTACAAGATGGATAGTAACAGTGAACTGGCTGATATCAAGATCTTGGAGATTAGAAAGGGAAGATTGTCCTCGTCGAACCTACATCTGCACCGGTGAAAGAGGAAGTGGGTGAGGAATCTGAGGATGGGGCAGATGTTGATGTGGCGCACAACCGCCCGAACGTGGACAACAACGAACATGAAGCTGCGTGAAGAATTCTACTCCTCCCTTCACTATACGCGGGTCCAGGAACTGTGTTATCAGAACAGCATGCAGTACTTCCACAAAGAGTTAGACGCATGGGAGCTTGCTATGCTAGACCTGCAGGAGTATGCAGATCTGCTGAAGGAGGAGAAGCCTGCACGTGTCGCAGAGGCATCCAGGGCGAATGAAGCCCTCACAAGTGTTGGCAATGACAAGTTTTCTGGCTCATGCGACCTTCCAATCAAGGGAAACTGAACTGTGGGAGCCTCTGGTCCCTTAGACGGGCTATGGATCGAATCAGACGGCTGAAAACGAATGTTGACTCATCAACCGGACTACTTCTTGATCAAATTCACGTACTTGTTGTGTTGCTTGCCTGCTTGAGGGGTGATATAGCGTGTGGAAGGGTGTGTTGAGGACTGGGGTAAACTGTTGAAGGGACAGGGTGCATCTATGTACTAATGTCATTGACTCGGAGCCATAAATTAGTCTATGTTGGTAAGACAACCCGTACGCTTCAGGAACATTGAGTCGAACACTAGAGAGTTTCCACAGGCACAAACAAACAGAAAGTGCATGTTTGGCTTGGGAAAGCCGAAATTCAGCATTACGTCCTGATTCCGATCTGGTTTCGTGAAGATCCCATGATTTGCAGCCTCGAGCAGGCTATCATGAAAGGGTTCAAACCTGGACTTAATGCTCGTGGCTCGAATTGGAAAAAGAATGCTGGTAAGGCACACGAAAAAGAAAGTCGTGTAAGATGCTTACAATTGCACATATTACTGAACAATTGTTTTTCAAATGCCCGGTGATTGGTACTGACCACGGTCCCGATCTGCTAAGAATCTTGAAATTGCTTGAGAAAGACAGGAAGAAGAAATCGATGGAGATTTCAAATAATATTGTGGCAGATTGTCAAAAGCATGGTGCTTGAATGTCTTGCTCGGGCCGCGAGCGTGTGCAGAGGCCTTGGCCTTGGCGCATGCATGTGTGCCTGCATGTCACACTCTTTTCCCCCCGACACGTGTCCTTCTTTCCGGCGACGCCGCTCCCTTGAACTTCCCGTCGTCTTTGTGAGCACGCCTCCGATATACGCCAAAATCTCGCTGTTCAGGATTGCCTGCCGTGCACTTTATGACGGGGTGGGATGGGTGGGAAAGTGATCGGGGAATGTTCCTGCTCTGATACCAGTGTGACGGACCCACCGGGATGGCGGTCTGTCAGTGTCAACACGAAGGAATGAGGATGAGAGAGATGGCAATGGAGTTGGAAGGGACAACACAACTCCGACGCAGACTAAATACGCACGTACTCCAAATTGTGTAAAATGAAAAATGAATCAAGATATAGACTGCAGTTGGGGTATTCTCCCAGCGGACTGACTAGAATGGACTGGACTGGTGACGATTGTGTACCAGACAGGACTGTACTGAATAAACATGGCCTGTGCGGTCAGGCCACGGCCTGGTCCCACAAGCCAAACAGAGGAATAGCCAAATAGCCCTT